ACCTCAGTTGTTAGATTTCTTTTCCCCTCTTGGTAAAAGATAAGAAAAACCAAGCTCTATGTCACAAATGTATCTCACAAAGTATACCTGGTTTGCAATATATTCAGCTAATTACTTTCAAAACTAGGTTTATAGTCTTATCATTGTAGTGTATTTATGATAATATTGTAAACTAGGTTTGTAGTCTTATCATTGTAGTGTATGATAGTATTGTCGATTATATTTTGTTATCTTCAAGCTCTGTTCTTGTTGCCTGCCTAATCTTTGTGCAACTAATTCTTTTAAAAGAATAGACCTAGCTCTGGGGCTGGAGAGATGGCTCAGCAGTTAAGAGCACTGGATGCTCTTGCAGAGGACCTGGGTTTTGTTCCCAGCACCAACATAACAGCTAACGATCCTCTGTAATTCCAGGTCCAGGGGCATCTGACACCCTCTTCTGGCCTCTGCAGGCACTTCATGACATGGGTGCATTACATACATACAGGCAAAACACTCAGACACATAAATAAAAATAAAATAAAAATTTAAAAGAATTTATTAGCTCAACACTTTGAGGTAGTTGCTGCCTTTTGGAGTAATAACATAAAACCCGATGCTAACTAAAGACAGACCCTACCTTGAGACAGTTTTTCCTGCTAATTTTTTTGTTGTTCAAATGTGGCCTTATCTGTGATACTGATTCACATCTTTTTCTTGTAATATCAAACCAAACCAAATGGGACAGGTTCATTCTGACACTAAAACATAATCAAAGCTTAACAACAGATTGGTTGGTTAGCAATGGTGTAAAGATTTCAATTAAAAGGGGAAATGTGAAAATCTTCATGCCGAATGAAGTCCTTCCAATCACACCCCTTGCTACGCAAGTACTATAAGAGCAAGTACCACAAGTGCTACGCAAGTATTATTACTGAGTGGCCACAGTAACCAGGTAAAACCAGTGTCAAAGTCATTGCTGGCTGTCCCACCATCAGTTGTTAAGCAAAACTAGTCTTAAAGTTATGGCAAGCTATTTCATTGCTCCCTTGTCTTCCTCACCTCTCAAGTGTCAGGTACATGTAGTCCCACTTGTTCAATGACATTGTTACACATAAAGAAGCTAGTTTTCAATTTTCAGGCCATCACTACTTATCATATTGTTTAGAACTTGCTTTGTACCTGTCAAGACCCTGCCTTGAAGTCTGCTGTTGTATTTTTTGCCCCTTCTGCTTCTCTCACTTCTTTTTCTCACTTCCTTGAGTATAAATATTGATACTTCCAAGCTTTTGTTCTTTACCACCAGCTCTATTTACAAGGACCTTGTGGTCATTCTTCCTTATGCTCATGACTTCAGTGACCAACTACGTTCCTGCTGATTCCCAAGTCTTGATAACTCTGACCTTTCTTCCTAAGCCCAGAGTGGTATATCCTGAGGTCTCCTGGACATGTCCACTCCAAGGCACCACTGGCATTTTTAATGCTCAGCGGAAAGGTTATCTTCCCTACATCTCCAAGCCTCTTTTCTCTATAATTAATCTACAACCTGACTAGTTCCACATACTATTTTAGTTTCCAGTTTTCATTTTTCCCATTTTATCTCTCTTACCTCCCACACAGGACTTCTGTTGCTTTTGCTGCTTTGATTCTTATTGTACTTTGGGGCCTTCTCTCGAGTTGTCATTTACCTGGACTGTGGCAGTGGTTCTTAGTGGGCCTCCCTTCTCGAACCCTTTCTGTTCTCAGTCTCCTTTCAGACTACTGCCAACTTCTATCTTTTTAAAATGAAAGTAGATCTGAATTGAACCTTCTATTGTCAAGTTGAAACTGCTCAGCATGACATTCAAGGAAGCTTTCATAGATTTTTAAAGCATCTTTCCAACCTTATTTCCTAGCACTCATCTGAATTTTCTGCTTTTTGGATACTTATTTTCTTTATTCTTATATATATATATATATATATATATTACACTACCTTGAAAGTCCTTTCTTTTCCATCACACTCCTATGCACCCTTCAAACCCAATTTTAATATCTTCCTCTAAGATCTTTCTTAAATATACTTATATGTATGTCTAAGGAACATTTCTATCATGCATGCAACTGGTTTGAGATTTTTCCATTAAAATACGCACTTCACAATTCCATAAGCAGTGTGATAGGAGCACCAGGGATTCTCCTGAAATATGAAGAGTGAACCTTCTCCCATATGACTTCGATTTCGATGTTTTGAACTTCTTGATATCTAAACTTTTCACATTCATATGGTATGTATGGACTTTTACTTTCTGGACACTTGATAAGATCTTTAGGATAGCAACGTAGAAATCACTCTACCTTCTGAGACTACTGAAGAGTAAGATAAAGAAAACAGTAATTCTAATATTTGCTGGCAGGTGCAGAAACACCATTTGAACAGGAGGCAAGGATCATTAAGAAGGGACAACTGAGTCATGCTCAGGCAGCAGACAGGGATGATGATGGGGTGATTATTCTTAATGATGCTATGACCGAAGAGGGAAAGCAGGCAAACTGGAGCTGCAGCTTCTTTGGGCACTTGCTATGTGTGTGAGCAGTGCTCATGTTCATTTCACTAAATCTTATGAAAAGCTCAGTGAGTTAGTATAGATGATCACCATTCATGCTTGATAAGGACACCTAGGTGTGGAGGTTAAGCAGCTTATGTAAATTTCTACAACTGTTAGGTAGGGGCTGCAAGTTGAATGTGCCCTTAACCACAACACACATTATACATCCAGGGAAGGATGTGGCCCTCCATAGGATGGGAAGCAGATGTGTTAAGGCATGGCAGGAAGAGCGCATTTGCTTATTCACAGAGCTGGGGGAATGTCATTATTACAGGAGCTTAGTCTGGAAATGAGAGAATACAGCATGTGTTGCTGGAAATGGTCTTGGAGAACCTCAGTTGTGTTCCATGTCAATGTATAAATGGGCTTGTGTTCTAGTTCTTCATTGCTGTGACAAAATACTCTGATCAATATCAACTTGGGGAGGAAAAGGTTTATTTGTCTTACATCTCCCAGGTCACAGTTCATCAGGGAGCCCAAGGTAGGAACTCAGGGCAGGAACCTGGAGGCAGGAGCTGGAGCACAGGCCATGGAGGAATGCTGCTTACTGGGTTGCTCTCCTGGCCCCTGCTCAGCCTGCTTTCTTATGCAACATAGGCCCACCTGCCCAGGGGTGGCACCACCCACAGTGGTCTGGGCCCTCCCACATCACTCATCAAGAAGATGCCCCTCAGACATGGTCACAGGCCAGTCCAATAGAGGAAATTCCCTAATTGAGGGTCCCTCAACCCAGGTGTGTCAAGTTGACACTAAAGCTATCCAGAACAGCTTGAAAATAGGAAAGTGTATCATTAAGGAGAGGGTGTTAATGGACAAAGAATACATTTTTACTTAGGACAGTTATTTTGAGGACTGGAAAATACACTAAGGTTGGGATAGAAATGTTGACAATGAAAGCAGTTTAGAAGTATGGGAGCAGTTCAAGGGTGACTCTTTAATTTTCTCAGTCAACAGATGCTAGATTTAGGAGCTACTAGTAGGTTGAACCTACCAGGAATTCTCCATGGCTAAAGAGAAAGGGGAATCCAGCACTCCTCTTGGGTCAAGTCTCATTGGTGAGGATTGGGAAGGACAGTGTTATATAGGTTTTTGAGCGTGTTCTTTTTAAATAATTGTAGGACCTCTTGCCGAGTGTGTAGCATATCATTGATTATTTAAGGTCTGCAGTTCAGAAGAAAAGTGGGACCTGGTTCAGTAAGAAAACCTGTGCTGGTTGTTATAACCATGGCAGTGAGGGATAATGCTTGGGGAGAAGTTGCTGACTATGAAACCCTCAGGAGCACTAACCTTTAGTCGGAGCCAAGGAATGGGTGTTAAAAGCTAGGACAGGGTGGAGGAAATTGGGAATCAAAAGGTGCAATATAGATAGAGACAAGCGCAAGATAAGCCAGGAACTGGATCAAGAACTGTAGGGAAGTCAAGAGAGAACGAGCCAGGCCATGCAGCTTTGCACAAGAGGTCATTGGTGATTTGGGTAAGAGCTGGAGTAATGAATTATGGGGCCCCAGATAGAGTCCTGGTGACAGAGTTTGGGTGAATATACAAGCACTTTTAAAAGATGACTTAAAAAAACATTTCATAAATGGAACAAGGAGATATGGAGGTTGGTAACATACACATCCTTGAGAAGGATGGGCTGGAGGCAGAAATCAAAACTAACTCTCAGGTGAGGGAATTTATTTCTTGAAAGGAGGAAGGTTGCAGGTAAGTTTATCAGTGGGAAGTGTTGCAAGCCTCTGACTTCCCTGAAGGACTCAGTCTGAATTAGATGGGGAGAGAGGATGCTGCCGGCGAGTGTAGTAGGAGAGGTTGAAGGGGAATGGTTTAAGGATCATTAAAAAGGGGATAAATTTTACCTGGACCATCTAAAAAGATTAGGGGCCCAGGTGAGCAGAGGCTCTATGACATTCTTGTTCCCTAGTAGCAAGCAACTTTTCTTAACAATATGCTAGACAGACTGCTTCTCTGCCTCCACAGCACTGTGTTCAGGCGGGAAGAACCACACTTACAACCCTGTGTTGTATCACCTGCTTGCACTCCTCAGATTTTTCAGCATTCTATCTTTACCTATATATTAAAGTGTAGTAGAACCAGGGTTGATTTTCTCCTCAAAAATTTCCCATTGTAAGGACAATATATTTATTAATGGATAGAAATAATTACTTCAAAGTTCAAAGATGGATACTACACCTGAATGATTCAAAGGAGTTTCTGGATTTATTAACAAAATATATGGTAATGTATGCTTGGTACTACTGAGAATTTGTAGTGCTTTCTACCAGCTGTGTAAGTTAATACCGAAAAGATTTGATACTGTTTTTCACCTTACTGGTCTTCATTATTCCTACACTGTTTTCTTACTTGAACAACTGAAGTGTTTCTCTCCAAGTATGTGTAGTATATATAAGATCTTGCAGTATAGAATTCTATGATAGTATGAAATATTTGTATTTTTCTTTCCCAGGTTCAGCACAGATAATGTTTCAAAAAATTAAATCTGTAGAGTTCAACTCTTGCAACAAAACCATTCTCATTCCATGCTACATTTCCAATATTGAGGCAGAAAGGATTAACGACTTGTATTTACAATGGAAATTTAAAGAAAGGGCCATTTTAATATTTGATGGAGCTTTAAACAAATCCACCAAAAATGACAAGTTTCTGAGTGCAGAAATTGACTCCTCAGAATTTCTGAAAGGAAATGCTTCTCTGAAGTTGAATAAGGAGGACGCTAAAGTGGGAAATTACACATGTGAAGTGACAGAATTAAGCAGAGAAGGTATAACAACCGTAGAGCTAAAATACCGTAATGGTAAGTGACATATTTTAGACGTGGTTTGTCTCTTTTGAAATACATGCTGAAACTTGATTGCTACTGTGGCAGTGTTTGGAGGCAGATGTGATTGGGTCATTAAGAGAAATTGATGCTATTTTAAGGGAATGGGTTAATCCTCAAAGGAGTGGATTAGTTATCACTAGTGTGGAGTGCTCTAAAGCAGAGTCACCCTTTATGCATCTTATCTGTGGAATGTGCTCTTCCTCTTTGACTTGGTGTTATATTGTAAGACAGCACAGGGCTGTCCTCAGAAGCCATGCAGATGCCAAGCTGGGAAGATGGTCCAGTTGGAAAAGTGCCTACAGTGCAAGAATGGAGTACTGAGTTCAGATCCCTAGAACCCAAGTAAAAGTCAGATTCTGTAGCATGCATCTGTAACTCTACACCCGGGGAGGGTGGTGGTAGGAGTCTGGAGGGAGACAGGCCAATCCCTAGAGCTTGTAGCCAGATAGTATTTCCCAAAAAGGGAGCTACAGGTTCACTGAGAGACACTGGCTCAAGGAATAAAGTGGAGAGCAACTGAGAAATAACATGAACCTCTGAACTTTATATATACATGTGCACACATGAACATGTACATATAGACCACACTAAAAAGAAGAGGAGGAGGAAGAGGAAGAGAAGGAGGAGGAGTAAAGGAGGGACACATGAACCCATACACATAGACCACACAAAAAAGAAGAGGAGGAGGAGGAAGAGGAAGAGGTAGAGGAGGAGGAGGAAAGGAGGAGAAAGAGGAGGGAGAGAAAGAGGAGGAGGAAAGGAGGAGGAACAGGAAGAGGAGGAGGAAAGGAGGAGGAAGAGGAAGAGGAAGGAGAAGAGGAGGAGGAAAGGAGAAGAATGGGGAGGAGGAAGAGGAGGAAGAGGAGGGAGGAGGAAAGGAGGAGGATGAGGAGGAGGCTGAGAGGATGACAATGCCATGCTCTTCATTTCTCAGTCTCAAGAATCATGGGCCAGAGTAAAGCTCTCTGCTTTATAAATCACCTAGTCTCAGGTATTCTGTTATAGCAATAGAAAACAAACCAAAAAAAAAAGATTTCTATAAATGTTTCATTTTTATTTGTCCTTTTACAACTGATCCTATTGGAATTGGAAGGAAATGGGATGAAGAAGGAATTATACTGAATTTAAAAAATCAGCTGCCTATTACTACTACTACTATACTAAATACTGATGTAATAACTGCTGTGATTTAAATGTGAAATGTCCCCCAGAGCCTCATGGACTTTATCTTGTACTCCAGCAGCTGCTGGCACATTTTGGTCAGTTGTAGAACCTCTGAGAAGTGGGGTATAATGAGCAAAAGTAGAGGGAAGACTTGAGTGCCTGCCTCTGGTCTTGGCACTCTACCTTCAGGTCTGCCTCCATGCAAAGGCTGGTGTCCACTCACTCCCACTTCTTCTGACAATGCTGGCTCTGCCACCTTGCCTGCCTCACATGAAGCTATGAACCAAAACCTTCCCCTGTTCAGTTTCTTCTGCCTGCTAGTTATTTTGTCACAACAATGAGAAGAATTAATAATATACTTTTCATCATTAAGAAAATAATTTTTTTCTTATTTCAGCCATACCCTTCTACTTTTCACACTGAAATTCACTTACTGTTTGCTCATTTTTATATGGCATGATTCTCAGGTTTTTGGTCTAAAGACTGGGTGATGGATCCTAAGCTCATATGCTTTGCATTTTGGCTTACCATCATCAAAAGTACCTTCTTTCATATACTTTTCTCCCTTACTCCTGATGTCTTTCTAATTGTTTAGCCTTTTTGTGTTTTATTTTGTGACCTCCCCTTTGGACCAAGGATTGACAAGTCCTAGCTATATTCCCTGTGCAAAGGAGAAGAAATAGAATCAGAGACTGCTTCTCATTTTGTATGTTGATTTTGTATCCTGGAATATTACTGAGGTTATTTATCCTATTAATTATTTTAGGGGTTTCTATATATTAAATTTTGTCATCTGCAATCAGCGACAACTTCTTTCTTTCCTGTTTGGAAGCCACTTTCTTCTGCTGCCTGGTTTTGTTTTTTTTGTTTTTTTTTTTTTAACTAGGACTCCCACCAGTATGTTGAATAAAAGTGGGGAAAGTGGCATCTAGTCTTGTTCCAAAACATGTATTATGAAAAGGGCAGTCTTGCCAACAAATGATACTGGAACAACTGGATATCCACACGCAGAAAATGCAACTAGTTAGACCCTTATTTCTCATCATATAAAAAAAGTAAAAATAAATGTAAGATGCAGATGTAAGACTTGAAACTATGAAATACTTAGAGGAAAACCTGTGGAAATATTTTATGACATTTAAATGGACAAGATTTTTTTTTTGGTCTTTTTGAGACAGGGTCTCCCTGTAGCCCCAGCTGTCCTAGAACTCACTATATAGACCAGGCTGGCCTTGAACTCACAGAGATCCACCTGCCTCTGCCTCTGAGTGCTGGGATTAAAGGCTTGTGCCACCATGCCCGGCAAGAAATTTTTTTTTTTTTATAAACCTCCAAACTCCAAGCAACAAAACAAAAAGTAAACAACTAAGATTACATTTCTGTCTAGCCAAGAGAGGATCAACATAGAGAAGGGTCAACCTGAACAATGGTAGGAAATACTTGAAAATTCTGTCTGTGATAAAAGGGCTAATAGCCAAAATATGTAAGAAGTCAATTTAATATTCAATGATAATAAGTAAAAAGAAAATCAAAACAAACTAGCTGATCCTCCTGAAAAACAGACATGCTCCCTGAGTGCAAGGCTGCTAAGATCTTTATCCATGAGAACAAACCAAAGCACAGTGCACTAGACTTGACCATAGGTCATAGGTCAGAGGGCTTTTGTCTTTGAACTTAGTAATGTGAAATATCTCCACACTTTAAAAACAAAAACAAAAATAGGAAGCAGACCTAAAGAGACATTTCTCTTTTGTTCTTCACTGAATTGCAGTTTGACAATTTCACACATGTACACAGTATATTCTGTTTATTCTCACCCCACCTTCTTTTATCTCCTTTCCAATCTGTCATTTCTCTGCCCCCACATCCTTCATACAGGTCCTTCTTCCACATTCATGTCATTTGTTTTGTTCTCTGACCTACTGATTTTAACCAGGACCATGTGTGTGGCCACGGGTTTGTCTATGGATCCTGGTGGACTCACTGTTGGGAACACAATGGAAGACATCAACTATCTCTCCCCCAGAGTCTACTAGTAGCCAATAGTTTATCAAGGAAGGATAGGGCCCTAGGAGCTCCTCTCTAATTCATGATTAGTTATTGATAGGCCCAGTCTTATGCAGACCTATGTAGGCATTCACAGCTGCTATGAGATCATATTTGCAATGACTATCATTCCTTGAGGCTAGCATTTCACAGACTTTATCTTTTGGCTCTTACATTCTTTCTGCTCCCTCTTCTGCTATGTTCCCTGAGCCTTAGAGGAAGTGGTATAATTGTCCTGTTTAAGGTTAATCAGCTGTCACTTACTCCAATCATCTTGAACAACTACAGTCACTGTATTCACTAATTTTCACTGCAAAGAGAAATATTCAGGGTTAAGGATGAGAGTAACATTTGTCTATGGGAATAAACATAAATATTCAGAATGTAGTTTGGTGCCATGTGTCTTTAGCTAAACAATAGGAGTGAGTTCTCTCCTATTGCCTATGACCTCCCTTACAAGGATTTTTTTTTTTTTTTGGACTGGGTTTATAGTACAAGGCATACATTAGCAAGCCACTTCTCCAAGCAGAGTACTTGGTTACCCCCACTAACAGCTGTGCCACTACTGGATAAGTGGGCAAAGTTGGCATTGTAGTTTGTCGACTAAACAAGACCATTGATGCCTTATCTCCCTCAGCCACCTGCAATTCATCATCATCTTCCAGCACTTCGAAGGCAGAAATTGTCCAGCTCAGTTCCAGATTGATTTTTCTATATATTTCAACTAAGGTATGTGGTATCTTCAGGAAAAGGGTCTTATCATCTAGCTGTGGTGGGCAACCAAGAGGAATGATGATAACAAGTATTGATTTGGGAGTCTGTGGGGCCTTCCTGCCCAGTAACTCATAGGGCAGTATCCCACACTAACACCAGGATTTTTGTTTGATAAATAATGTATTCTAGGAACAGAATTATTCAACCATACAGGAAATTTTGCTTCTCTTTTTTAATCTTTTAAATAGTATTTTTAATTAGATTATGAAATAGTAGGTTTCCTGTTCCCTAGCTTCGCCCATCTTCACCCCATATCCATCCTTGCTTAAATCATTCCACCCCCATTATTCCCCCTCTATGCTTTCAGATCACCTGTGTTCTACTACCCAGCCTCTCTTAAGGCACCCCCTCCAATGGCCCCTTTCTAGTTTCCCGGCTTCTGTATGTACTCCAAGTTAAATGTACACATCTAAAGATTTGGAGTTAGGATCCACATAATGACAGGGAACATACAGCATTTGTTTCTCTGGGCTTAGGTGACCTTACTCAGAACAGTATTTTCCAGTTCCTTCCATTTATCTGAAAATAAAATAAAATTCCATTGTGTATATGCATGACATTTTTCTCCATTCATCTGTTGATGAACATCTGTCATGGTTTGAATGAGACTGTCCCCCATAGGCTCCAATATGTGAACATTTTGTCCCCAGCTCGTGGAGCTGTTTTGGGAGATTTTAGTTTGTGCAGCCTTGCTGGAGGAAGCATGTCACTGGAGGAGGGCTTTGAGAGTTTTTAAGCCTTTCCAGATTTTGAGGAGCTCTCTGCTTCCTGTGCCTGCTTAAAGATGTGATCACTTGGCCTTCTGTGCTAGCCACCCTGCCACTATGCCATCACCGCCATTATGCACTCTTACGCTTAGAATTGTAAGCTCAAGCTTTTTGTTCTATAAGTTGCTTTGGTCACAATGTTTTATCACAGCACCATAAAAGTAACTTATACAGAAGTTGGTACCAGAGAGTGGGTTGTTGCTGTGAAGAACCTGACCATGTTGGGCTTTGGAGGAATGTGGAAGACTTTGGAAGTTTGAAAAAGAAAAAAAAAAGGTTGAATGCTGTAAGCAGAGCTTAACAGGCCATTCCAGTAGGAGCCTGGAAAAAAGTAGTACTGACAGCAAAGTAGCTCCAGAAGGAAATAAGGACTTAAACATTAACTGGGATGTTTTGACAAAGAGTCTGGTTGGAGTCTGCCCACAGCCTGAAGAGCTTGCCTGAAGCTAAGTTGTAAAGCAATGGACTAATTTCTTTTGTGGAGGAAATTTCAAGACAACCTAATGTAGAAATGACGGCATGGTTATTAATGGTGAATATTATTAAGATGTACAATGAAAAAGAGCAAGTGGGGCAGAAAGAAATGCAGAATGTACAGTTTGAATTGAAAAAGAGCACTAGAGAGCATAATGTTGGAGCCAAGGTATATGCTGAAGGAGAGGCTCTCTTTGATAAGGCAATTAGAGCCATTAAAGAGAGGCCCAGAGATTTGTACTTAAACAATGGAAAGAGTACTTTTAGGGCAAGACCACATCCAGATAAGCATCCAACTTGTGAAAGTAAAATACCAGTAGGTTTTTCTGATCCTAGAAAACCAAAGCATGGAAGAGCTGATAATGTGGATGAAGCAGGCCAGGGTCCATCCTAGGTTGGCAGCTGAACTGGGCAGTGCCATTCACATGGTGCTGGCTTTAGAGGCATGAAAGATGCAAAAATGAAGGGATCATTGGTTCTTCCTCCACAGTTTCAGAGAGCTGCCAAGGCCAGGCAGTGTAAAGCAGCGGCATCCCTGCATAAAGAAAGCCCTGACAGGTCATTGTGTGAAGCTGTGAAGGTGAAGCCTGGTTGGCAGTGAAGACCCTAAGCAATTGAAGATGCTAGAGTCATGAGGCACCTTTCAAAGTGAACTACATATAGAGAGTGGTACCAACCCAAGAAAGAGATGTGTGTTGCATGCAGCAAAGCTGGAGGGGCTGAGCCATCTAAGCCCTTTGAAAGTAAAGTCCCAGAAGTTGGACATGAAGCTACTGGATTTGGTATTTGCCCTGCTGGGTTTTGTTCTTGCTTTGGTCCAGTATTTCTATAGTGTGCCCCTATTTCTCCCTTTTGGAATGGGAATGTGATTTTGGTTCCATTGTGTATTGGAAGTATATGATTTGTCTGATTTTACAGAGGCTTACAATTAAGAGATTGCTTCGTGCCTCAGAAGTGACTTTGGACTCTAGATTCTTGAATAGTATTGAGACTGGAAAAGACTCTGGGGACTTTTGAAAGTAGACTAAATGCATTTTGCATTTTTTATGGTCAGGAGCCTATGAGGGCCAGAGAGTGGAATGTGGTGGTTTAAATGAGAATGTCCCCCAGAGCCTCCAAGAATTTGGACATTTTGTCCCCAATTGGTGGCAGTGTTTTGGGAAGTTTTAGGGAGGTGCAGCTTTGCTGGAGGGAGCACGTCACTGGGGACAGTCTTTGAGAATTCTTAAGCCTTGCCAGATTCCCAGTCACTTTCTGCTTCCTGTGCCTGCTTGAGGACATGATTGCTCAGCTTTCTGCTCTGGCCACCTCCTTCCACCATACCACCCCCACCATTATGGACTTCAATCCCTCTGAAACCATAAGCCCAAATAAACTCTTCCTTCTATAAGTTGCCTTGGTCACGGTGTCTTATGCAACAGAAAAGTAAGTAATACAACATCTAAACTGATTCCGTTTCCCAGCTAGTGTCAGTAGAGGAACAATGAACATGGATGAGCAAATATCTCTGTAGCAGTGTATGAAGTCCTTTGGGTATATGCTGAATCATATGGTAGTTCTCTTTCTATTTTTTGGAGGAACCTCCATGCTGATTTCCATAGCTGCTGCATCAGGCTGTATTTGCTCCAAAAGTGAATAAATGTTCCTCTTTCTCTACAACTGCACCACAATCTACTGTCACTTTGTTTTTTTATAATAGGCATTCTGACTAGAGTGAGATGGAACCTCAAAGTTATGTTAAACTGTATTTTCATGGCAGTTAAGGATGTTGAACAATTAAGTGTTTATAGTCATTGACGTTTCTTATTTTGAGAACTCTTTGTTCAGATCTAGAGTTCTATAGTCCCCCCCCCATTTTTTAAAATAATCGGGCTGTTTGTTTCTTCGTGCTTTGTTTTTTGTGTTGTTTACCTAAATATTCTATGTTCTATGTGTTGATTATTTTCTCCCATGCTGTAGTCTGTTTCTTCACTCAGTTAACAGCTTGATTTGCCGTAGAGAAAAATTTTAACTTCATAAAGTATCATTTCTCAATTCTTGGCATTATTTACTGAGCTTCTGGAGTCCTATTTAGAAAGACCTTACCTATGCATATATCTTGTAGTGTATTCCCTACTTTTCTCTAGCTATTTCAGAGCTTCAGGTTTTATGTTGACATCCTTGAACAATCCAGAGAACAATGTTAGAGAAGAATCTAGCTTCATTCTTCTACATGTCAGTATTCAGTTTCTCCAGCACCATTTGTTGAAGAAGCTGTCTTCTCTCCAGTGCACATTTTTGGCATTTTTGTCAAAAATTTGGTGGCTATAGTTGCATGGGTTTATTATAAAAGAAGGACATACAAAGGGGCTATAGGTATGTAAAAAATACTCAACTAATCATCAAGAAAATACAAATAACTAAAATATTGCTTCATTTGAGTTAGAATCACTATTAGCTGAAAAACAAGGACTGTCAAGGATGTAGAGTAAAGGGAACACTTTCATATTATTGATGTGAAAACTAGGCAGGTTCCTCACAAAATGAAGACTAGACCTACCATCTGATCCAGCAATGCCAGTACTGATATACAACCTGTGTTAGTCTTTTCATCACTGTGATGGTTAATCTTGAATTTCAACTTGATGCATTCAGAAAAGAAAACATATGGGCCTATCTCTGATAGTATTCCCAAGGAAGTTTGACTGAGGTAGAGCACTCATCATAATTGTGAACAGCACCATTCCATAGGCTGGCATCCTGGATTGAATAAAAGAAAGCCAGCTGAGCACCAGCATTCATTGTCGTCTGCTACCTGCCCATGGATGCAATATGACCAGCCACCTCGTACTCTCGCCACCGTGCCTTCCCTGCAACCATGGATTGTACCCTCAATCTGTGAGCCAAAGGAAACCTTCCTCTTTTATCCTTAATCTGCCAAGCCTTTTTGTCACAGAAATAAGGAACATAACTAATACAGTCTCTGGGACAGAATACCTCAGAGAAGCAAGTTAAAGGAGAAAGGAGTGTTTTTTTTCTTTTTTGGGTTTTTTAGGGGGGCAGGGGGTGGAGTTTTGTTTTTTCAGCTCATGTTTCAGAAAATTGGAATAGATTGTGATGGGAAAGTATAACAGAGGGCTCTGTCAGTGGAAGTGAGCAAGTGAGCACAAAAGGAAAGTATAGTATCAGATCCCAACAAGTAACTCAAATAGCAGCAGGGCCATACTATCACCCCTAAACGCCTCACCTCTTTCAGTCATGCAGCCCACCCAAAAGTTTCCACAATCTCCCCAAATAGTGCCACCTGTGGGGATCAACATAGGAGCCTGTGGGGAAGGGGACATTTCAAATTCAAAACGTACCTACTGAACATTGAATCAACAGGTTGGACAAACGTCTGCAATCCCATGTTCATCGCAGCAGTAGTCACAATTGTCAAGGGATAGAACCAACCTAAATATCAAATGATAAATGAAGAAAATGTGGTGTGCCAACCTTTGCCATAGGTCTTTGCATATATCGTCTTTATTAGTAGTCACAGTAGTGCTTCAAGGGATGTAGTCTGTGTCATTCCTGTGCAGCAGCTAAAGAAGCATGAAGAGTAGAGGTGTTCACATACTGTCTACAATCACACAGATTTTGAGTCAGACTTGGCTTTCACACCTGGCAATGTGGACTGAGCCTGCTCTCAGCAGCTGCACTGCCCTTCCACAGACCACAGGTCAGGAGATGTGATGCAGCACACCCAGTTTCCCAGCACTTTGTCCTTCCTAGATAGTTTGTTATATGAGTAAATTATGCATAAATTTTGTTTTGTACATGTTCATGTATAAAATAGGGTCATAGCTTTGATTATTTTAATCTTTTGCCTGCATAATAAAAGATATATTTGAGATTATTAGCACTATTTAAAGTAATTACAGTAAATACTAAATGTGATTTTTTTTTCTCTTTCTCCTCAGCGTCTTGGTTTTATTTAAGTAAAAATATTTTCATTGTTATTTTCCCATTTTTGGCCATTCTTCTGTTTTGGGCACAATTTGGTATTTTATGTAAGTATTTCCTTCTACTTTTCATTTATATTTTAGGGATAAGATTGTTACTTCTGGAGATAATACAGTGAAATATTCTGTGTGACTATGTTGTATTGGGAGGAGTGATGTTCTAAGAAATAAGAGTACATACACATATAGAATTGAGTATTAGTGTCCTTGAATTATATACTGTCTCTGGTATATTGCTACAGCTAATTTTTAATTCCTAAGAAGAAGTTTTGTTGTTGTTTTAAAAGTCTTTTAAAGTGAATACTGGAAAAACTAGCAACAACACCTTAAACTTCTGTGGCATTGTTATTTTCAAATGCTATTTTTCTTGGTAAACAGATGGTCACAGGCTATATTAGTTCAAAGAAAGAGCCTTACCCTCTGGAGCCCTGGGATGTCCCTCTTCACTTTCCCAGTTTGAACTGATCCACAGAAAAAGCCCAATTTGTACCCAGACTTGGCCTCCATGTTCAGCTCCACAGCCCTGAGACAACCACTGAATCTGTTCTGTGATCTCACTTTGTACTGACAGCCAAGAAGCTGAAGGTCAATCTTGATGCTGTATCTTATTTTTTCTGAACAGTTTAAAATTGTCATTACAAGGTGATATGGTTTGAATGTGAAATGCCTCTCACAGGCTCATGTAATTTAACACTTGATGACCAAGTAAGGTGCTGTTTTGATAGACTGCGGCGCCTTTGCAAACAGGGGCCTCTCTGTAGGAAGTAGACTTCTTGGTGCCATCCTGGAGGTTTATACCCCAGCCCAGCTGCCTGCCCAGTCTCTGCTTTCTGATTTGTCCAGTAGCAAGTGGTCTCCTGCTCCTGTGGTCATCCTTCCCTGACATGACAGAGTGTGCCCTCAAACCATGAGTCAAAATGAATCCTTCCACCCAGAAGTTGCTTTTTGCCAAGTATTTTGTCATAGAAATAAGAAAAATCATTAGTTATATGATTGATTATATGAGTTTATACCCAACCATATTTCCAAAACAATTTGCAAAAGGAAATTTACTAAATTAGTGAAGTTTTGAGGCAAGTCTAATCTTTTAAACTTCTAAAATGTAAAATCTATTCCTACTCTCCCCATAAGGACCCTAAAGTAGTCACTGAGGTGAGGACAAGTGAACACCTATACAGGTAAAATTATGCTGATTTAATTTGTTCTGCAGCCTTTAGAAAAGTGAACACTAGTAAATTATTGCAGAGGACAGCCCGTGGTATATTTCATAAACTTTACTTTCCTCAGAATTTGAAGCTGTGTGTGTCCTCAGTGATACATAAAAATAGAAGTGAGCTGATTGGGGTAGATTCAAGGGCTTTGCCCAATGCATAGCACTCTGAAAATGCTTAGCAGTTTCAGAAGTGTTCTCAAGTTCTGCCTAAATGGAAAGAAGGGGAAACACAGTGCAACTATCAAGACATTTCATAACTCTTACCTTTAAGACAGTGTCGACACTCTTGAAAGTTATCTTAGTGTTTCTGTAAGCCCTTTGTTTTAAGGAAAAGACTGGTACTGCCTCAGGCCCTGCTCATAGTGACTGATATTAGGGAAAACTTTTAGCTACATTGGCATACCTGGGCTTTCAGGGCTGAGTTATCTGATCGGGCAGTGAACAATCATTTTTAAGATCACAAAATGACTTCACATTACTGAGACTTGTTGAATGGTTGGTAGAAGATTGATGATCATGGAGTTATTATTAGGAACATTACATTTTTGTTTATTTTTCTTAAGAAATTTATTGCCAAACATTCATTGTACATAGAGATAAGATTGTTACAGACATTTTCACACAAGTGTTTCATGATTTGAGCAGTCCATCTTTCCCATTGTCTTTCTCTCCCTCCCTTAATCTACGATTTCTCTTCACTAAACAGGCAAGCTCATTTCTAGACTCACGTCATATGTGCATGATTTTGTTTATCCATATATATAAATGAGAAGCATGATATTCATCTTTCCCATCTGACTTAGTTCACAAAACATAATGACTCCAGTTGCATCCATTTTCCTGAAAATGACATAACTCCATTCTTCTTATGCCAAAAATCCCCTCAGTCATACATATACTACATTTCCTTTATCCATTCACCTGTTGATGGACACCTAGTTGGGTTCCATAACTTGGTCATTATGAATAATGCTGTAATAAACATAGATGTGCAAGTACGTCTGTGGTATGTTGATTTAGAGTCCTTCAGGTATATACCCAGGACGCATGGCCGGGTCATGGAGTAGTTTTAGCGCTGGTTTTCTGAGGAACCCCCATCCTGATTTCCATAGCAGCTGGGCTGATTTACAGTTCTGCCAGCAGAGTGTTCTCTTTGCTGTGCTCTCATCAGCATTTCCTAGTTTTTATTTTTTTCTTTTTCTTAATGATAGTCATTCTAACTGGAAGAAAGTGAGATCTCAGTGTTGTTTTATTTTAAATTTCCCTGATGTCTAAGGATATTGAATATTATGTCATGTATTTGTTGGTCATTTCTACTTCATCTCTTGAGAACTGTTTATTTCATTAGCACATTTAGTGACTAAGAGTGCTTGGATTCTTGGTATTTTTTTTTTAGCTCTTTATATATCCCAGGTATTAATCCTCTGCCAGATGTGACTTTCTCCCATGTTGTAGGCTACCTTTTCACTGTTTCATTTGAGTGAGTAATTTCATTTCATAAAATCATAGTTTTCAATTCTTGGGTTTATTTCCTCAGCTATTGGAATTCTATTTAGAAAATCCTTGCTTATTCCAATACCTTGAAATGTTTCTGTGTTTTCCTCTTAACACTCTCAAAATTCCAGGTTTTACTTTAAATTATATCTGTATTGATTTTTGTATAGAGTTTCATTCTCCCTCATGTGGATACCTAGTTTCCCGGTACCATTTGTTGAAGATACTATGTTTTCTCCAATGTAAGTTATTTACATCACTGTCAAAAATTAGGTGGCTGTAGCTGTGTGGTTTTATTTCAGAATCCTATATTCTGTTCCATTCATCCGAAAGTCTGGTTTCATGCCAGTACCATGCTGTAGGCTGCTTTAGGTAATTTAGCAATTGTCACTATTAAATTTCTTGATTTATGAGTCTGGATATTCTTTGCGTCTTCTAATGTCTTCAATTTCATTCTTCGATGTTTTAAAATTTTCATTGTAGAGGTATTTCTTGTCTTTTATTAGGCTTATTACTAGCGTTTTATTTGTTTTGTTTTGAAGTTGTTGCCAGCGGGTCTTGCTTTTCTCATTTATCATCATATTCTCTATGTAGGTATGTAGGAAGGCTGCTGATTTTTGCATGTTGATTTTATATCTTGGTACTTTGTCGAAAGTGCTTATTAGTTCAAGTGTTTTCTATAGGATTGGGTCTACAGAGTGTTGTACATCACTTTCAAATAGGGACACTGATTTCTTCCTTTCTTATTTATAGTCCTTTCATTTCTTTCTCTTATCTCCTCGCTCTAGCTAATATTTCAAGACTTAGAAAATAGCCACTCTGGCCTTGTTCCTGATTTTGACAAAAGTGGTTTGATTTATTTTTCTAAGAAATAATTTTGACTTTTCTGTATTTGTTAAGAGTTGCTAAAATATAGTTTATTTTACATAATGTTCCTTGGGCTGCTGAGAACAATGAGAACCTGCAGTCTTTGGATAGAATATTCTGTAGCTGTCTGATGAGTCTATTTGATCTACAATGACATTTAATTATGATGTGCCTTTGATAAGGTTTGTCTGGATGGCCTGTCTACTGATGAAACTGGGATACTGAAGTCACCTGCTATGACTGTGCTGAGTTCAATCTATGCTGTTACATCTAAGAGTATTTGTTTTATGAAATTGGATATGCTGAAGTTTGGTGCATTTAAGTTTAGAATTATAATTTTCTGTTCTCTTAAGCAACATGAGATGACCTTCTTCATTTCTTTTTACTAATTTTGGTTTAAAGTATAACTTTCAAACATTAGTATGGCTATGTCTGCTTGTATTAAGTTCTTCATATTTCTTGTGTTTCTACATTGGAACTTACATGTCTAAAATTAGGTCATTGGTTGGACTGCTGCTGCTGATGGTTAATAATCCATACCCTTTCAGTTGAAAGATTTGCAATGTTCAAGTGGAACTGAGTTGTATTATGGTTAGAGTTCCTACCTTCTGAGCCAGGGGTATAGTTCAGTAGTTAAATTCTCAAGGCACTAGACACAGTCTCCAGCATCATGAGAGTAGAATATTAATTGCAGAAACAACCACAACTTTTAAATGCACCTTCTATAAAAATACACTAATAGGTATTAAAAAACAATTGTTCCCTCAACTCCAATACCTTTTAGGTCAAAAGAAACAAGTCTGGAGAGTCGGATCAGCAGTTAAGAGTACTGGCTACTCTTGCAGAAGAACCAGGTGTGAATCCCAGCACCCACATGGCAGCTAACAGTTGTCCATAAATCCAGTTGAAGGGATCCAACACCCTCTTCTGTCCTCTGCCAGCATTGCACGACACAGGTACACTTACACACACGCAGGCATAATACTCGTACACATAAAATACAAATAAATAAATCAAAAAATTTTTAAAGAGGACATGGATAACATGGTATATACTAGGATTAGTTATTACATGTAGGAATGGAAGAAATAATCTGAGTAAGACTAAGAATTAGTATAAGAACAAGAGATAAAAATAGATGAGGAGCCAGGCGTGTGGCACATGCCTTTAATCCCAGCACTTGGGAGGCAGAGGCAGGCAGATCTCTGTGAGTTCAAGGCCAGCCTGGTCTACATAGTAAGTTCCAGGACACCTGGGGCTACAGGGAGACCCTGTCTCAAAAAGACCAAAAAAAATAGATGGGGAAAAATAAATAGAAATGAGGAGTTGGGATATAAACATCATAAAGTCTATCAGTTAAGAAGTATGTATATAGAGGAGGAGATTGAAAGAAAGAGAAAGTGAGGTCAAAGTGAGAGGGAAAGTATACAGGTTGTAGGCAAGAAAACCAGTAGAGAGAACACTGTAGAGCAGGTGCTGAAGCCAAATAATTATAAGACCAAATTGAATGGCAGGTGTTGTTGCCTGCACCCAGCCCTCAGGAGGCCACTGGGTCTTTATGATATCCATGGCCAGCTTGGTCCACATAGTGACTTCCAGGCAGGCTGGAACTAGGGTGACCCTGTCAAAAAACAAACAAACAAAAAAACAAACAAAAAACAAAAACCCAAAGACCTAATTGAGCAATTAGAAAACTAAAGCTGTGTGTGTGTGTGTGTGTGTGTGTGTGTGTGTGTGTGTGTGTATGTATGCATCAACCAATGTCTTTCCCTTCCTGAGCTGTCATAGGTTTAACACTTGTGTGACAACCATCCACTTGTGTCTCCAGTTCAAACTTGTTTGACCACACTGGTTTGTATGCAGTGTCCCTGTCTCAGTGGAGTTCAAACAGGTTGCCTGTGGTGTAGAATCCTGCCCAGGCATCAACAGGAGTCTCCCATCCCTCAGCATGGAGTGTCACTTCAGAGTCTTCTCAGCTAGCACATGTGTTCAGCATGTGATGGGTGCTCTCCTCACTTCCCCACTGGATCTCAATGCCTGAGGTTCTGATGTAGGCATGCCCAAGTTTGTGTTTTCCTATGCAGGTAGATATTCTTACCAGGGCTTGAGCTGCTTGTGTCCATGGCCTTAGCTTAAGTGTACTTGCTATGCTGAGTTGCAATTCAGATAAACTCCAGGGGGTGTTCATATGGCTCTGTGGTTCTCTGGATCTTGTGCTCCTAATAGGTGGATGGGTATTTTGGAGTTGGGAGGGGTTATTGTGCAATTTTCAACTCTTCCCAGAAGATCAGTTCATTCTGTGCCCTTCTTATCCCAGCCTAATGGGCAATGACACAGGGTCGGACATCAGCACTTGGTATTTTCCCAGCATCTGCTTCATACAGCTTGTGGGACTGTGATTCCAAATTTTCTTTTTCTGTCTTTGCTTCTGGACATTTTCATTTAGACTTTCAGTTGTATACCCAGACCAAAGGGAAGCATGCTTCTCTTTCCATAGCACTTTTGTCCACCGCTCTAGGCTACGGTTTGTTATTTCCTTTATAAATCCAATGTCCATCTCTGTATGTTATCTGACCTCTCACTGTCCTCTGTTTACTGTGAGTCTCCCTTGCATTTCAATACTTCTCATCTCTTTTCAGAATCATGGATCAGATTGTAATGGGGTGTTTGAGGGTCTGATGTAGATCAGATAGGCATGTCTAGGGGTCTGGATTCCTTCAGAGAGACTAGCAAAGAATTGACTTTCTGGGAAAGAAAGAAGACTGAAATTCGGAGAAAGCAACAGCAAAGATTTCTTTATTATGCATAAACTGGACAGCTCCATTAGCATTGGAGGGCACCCTAGAATTGGGAATCCAATGGCTTTACTTAGAAATACTCTTTTCTTTTCCCAGAATGATACTTTGGACTCTCCCTATATTTTCAGATTGGTTCCCATAAAAAAATAAGAGAATATTGGCAGGCCCCCAGCCTTACTTAGTTCAGATGATGGGCTGTGACTCTGAATCCATCTGAGCAGGTCAGTTGAAGGGGTCTTACTGGAACTAAAAAAAAAAAAAAAACTTCCTGCTAGAATTAAGTATAAAATCTATTAAGTTTTAGCTGTCATCTTATTCCTTACCTGTAGACTCTTTCCATAACTCTATTCTTGTCAGACTGCTTCTCTATCATCCTTTCTGTCCTCCAGTATGTTTTCTTTCATACTCATGGGTGTGTAGGAGAGAGCCCACTATCCTACCTCTCCATCTCCTCACTCCAGGGTGTGGACTTAAAAGGGTAACAGTACTTTTAATGGAATGAATTAATCCTGGATCTGTTCATAGTCAGCCATATTTTTACTTTCTTTCTGACTTTAATAAGTCAATATAGGTCATGTTAGAACATTAGTATAGTATGGGAAGCAATCAAGAAAAAACTCATCTGGAAAACTGTTGGTACATTTCAGTGACCTTCCAACTTGCTTTTCTGTGTTGACATTGGTGGTTTTACCTGAGGGTACATGTGGTTTAAATTTATTATCTAAAGGTTATATATTACAGGCTTGGTCCTCAGAGTGGTCAAAGAACCCTTAAAAGTGGTAGTGAAAAATCTTAAATTATGGGGCCTTAGTGGGAATTCCATGGGTCTCTGGTGGTCCCATCCTCAGAAGAGAATGCTGGTTTCTTAGAATTAGTTCCTGCTAGAGTCAGTACTAAAAAAATCTAAAGTCTTATCCCTAGAAACCTTCACTGACATCCTGTTGTGAAATGTGATTTCAGGACTCAAGCATGCTCTTGTCGTGTTCCATGGGGCCTGTGCTAGAGCTAGCACCATGTCATTTGGATTTTCAACCTTCAAAACTATGAGCTAAATAAACCTGTTTTCTTTGTAAAATAAAACCGCCCTCAGGTATTTCATTATTGTAATGAAAAAGGAGTGCAAACAGTTGTTTTAAGAAGCATGCAAGTATTTTGAATCACAGATCATCTTACAAGCAGCCACAAGTTTGATAAGAGTTTGTTAAGAAAACATCAAATTAGTTTTCTCTTCATACTATTGAGTGATTACTTGAATTTATTTCCTTTGCTGCTTTTAAGATTTTGATAAGTAAGGATAAACTGATTTTTTTAAAGGATTGGAAAATGACACAAGCAAAAGCTTTATGGACTATTCTGTGGCATATACATCAGATTCTTTTCCTTTTAGCTACATTGAAAAAAGTCCTAGGGCTGGATAGAGGTAAAAGAACAGATCAAAAGTTCAGAGAACTTTCCAAAGGATGCTGTCTGACTTTTATGGATATGTCTTTGACCCACATGGGTGTCAAGTTACTGAGCTTTGTGGATGATAATTGTTTAGGCCTGTGTCTCCCTGCTAAAGTGACTAGAAATGCGATCATAACCCAAATCCAGATTTTTATCATGGTCAATAATACTTCGTTGATTTTTCTATATTTAATCTGTTCATCATTTATTAGAAGAAAATTAAAAGAAATATATATACTTAAAATATTTCCCTCTTACCCCCATCATCTGTTCACTCCCAGGAGGGAGAAAGTCACGTGTAAGAGGCACCAGCAGAATTTCTGTCACACACCCTGTTGCTCTCTGCTCTTCAATCTGGTCTTAGTTGCCCTTTTACAGAAAATTAATTTCAACATTAATCCAACCAAAAGGTCAATAAAGAGTAAAAGCAAGCATCATTAGGTCATCATTATTCTATATTGGAATGCAGCAGCACTTGAGGGTGAGCCTGTGTCAGGAACACTGACATCTGCCATGAACCTTCCTGAACCCTGGCGATGTGCTTTTATATAAATACCTCAGTTAAAAGTTTTAGGCATTTTTCTCCTCCAGGATTCCACAAGGGTATGTGTTAATGTTTATTCTGTCCTCTTATCAAAACAAATTATCACAATTTCTAGGTGTTTTACTAATTTTATATAAGGTAGAACTTAATTCTCTTTCTGATATTGCAAAGTAGTTATTTCTCATCAGCTGTACATCACTACTGTCTTGTCGGTCTGGGATGATTTTTCTCCTCAGGAAACACTGACATTATCTGAAGATATTTAAATTGACATATAACTGGGGGATATTGCTGCCATCTTCTGTGTGGTGTCCAGGGATGTAGCTCAATGTTCTATAATGCACAGAGCTACCATCACAGGAGGTGCCTCAATGCCTCCATTGAGAAAGCCTGGTGTATTGTAACTTCCTCTTTAAAACATTCCAGAATACAGTGTCACTTACACATTTAGCATCTACATTAATATTTCCACGACCCTATTTATCCATTGCCTTATGAAAAGATACACGTAACTTGGTAAGAGCTTTCTTCAGGGGTTATCCTATTGTACTGAGTTGCCAATTTGTCTCTGTATAATGTATACTGTAGAAATGGATTCATTTATGATTGAGTTCATGTAATTATTTCTTTTTTAAAGTACAAAAATATAAATCCAACCCTATGAATAAGAAAATGATTTTTTTAACTGCTGCTGGACTGTTGGTCACCATAGTTGTCATTATTGGAGCCATTCTCTTCATCCCATGTGAGATGCACAGGTACTGTGGTGGGTGCAGGGCTGATGTGAGGAAGCATCCCAGGGTAGGTACATCAGTTTCCAGGGCTGTTGTGACAGATGGCGAATGATGTGACCTCAAACAACAGAAATTCTCTCAAGGATCTGGAAACTGTGTGCTCCTCTTGACACTCTGGGCAAGACTGTTCCCTGCCTCTGCTAGCTTTCTGTGTTTGCAGGCAATGCTTGGCATTTCTTAGCCTGTGGCAGAGTAGCTGGCATCTCTGCCTGCGTGGTCCAGTGTCTCCTCTCCTCTGTGTTCCCCTCTGTGAAATTTCCCTCCCTTCCCTTCTTTCAGAAGGACACTTTTCATTGGAATTAGAGACAGTCACTTAACTCAGGCTAAGCTCCTCCTTCTAGATCATTAATTTAATCAGATCTTTTGTCATATAGTCAAATAAGGTTTTGAGGACAAAAAGTAGGAATATAACCAGGGCCACCCCCAAGTCTGCTATCGAAGCTAACTTCATTGGCCAGGATGTGGAAGCAGACACTGACATGGGAACCATGTCTGTCTGAAGTAGTTCTTGCAACTGAAGGATTGGAAGTGTGGGAGAAAATAAGGGCAGAGAGCACATGGAAAGAAAAGCCAACAGGCCAAGGTCACAGCAACCAACTGTAGAATGCCACTATAGTTTCTTAGGCAGACTCGGTGCAGGTGGAAGCTTTAGGAACATGGATTTGGAAGGTCTCTGTGCATCTATGGTTGCTGAGGGTCTGGGGAGGAGAAGCAATCAGAACACAACTTGAAAAACAGTCAATTCATCTCTGAGACAAACTAAATATTGAAAATGAGGGTGAATATGTCTGGGAATGGATTTTAAGGGTGTGGGATAATGGTGGAAGGAACACGCTGAGTTTACTGACATGGGCCCCCTGACTAGAGATTCTAGGTTTAATATGGAAGCTCGTGCAGTTAAAAAAGGTGTTAAAAGTTTATTTGATTGGTTGGCTGAGGTATTATCAAAAGCTGGCCTACTGACAGAGAGCTGGAGATATCTGATATCCCTTGGCTTAGTGTTGATGAAGGGATTGTAAGGCTCAGGCAAATTGGTATGCTTGAGTGGATTCACAGTGCAACACCAAATCCTCCACAATGGGAGGCCCAGAGGACATGCCTTTTACTGATTTTATAAGATGGAAAGTACTGAGAGAGACACCAGAACGTTTGAAGAGCTTTGTGTTTGCTCTCTTCCTTATGTCAAATCTTACAGTTGGAGATGCTGCTGCTCAATTGCATAAATTAAATGTAAATATAGTAGGTGTAATAGGACCTCGGAGTAGGGTCAAGTGACAATATTGAATTACCAAAGACAAGATGAGCATACTTATCGTAATGGGCGGCAAAGGCAAAACAATACCTACAATGGCATGACTCAAATGGACCTGTGGTACTGGCTAATCAATCATGGTGTTTCCAGGAACCACATACATAAGAAGCCTACTGAGTTTTTAGTTGATCTGTATAAGCAGAAAAGCTCTAGGACGAATGACAGGAAGTCAGTATTGGATCTTAGCAATAGAGAATCTCACTCACTCAACCAGTTTCCAGACTGGAAGGCCAGGTGCCCTTGAGGAAGGACCTTGTTACAGTACCAAAGAGTTATGCTGTTCGCCTCTTACCCTTCCTTCCCCAGAGGTATCTGTGGCCTTTTACTAGAGTAACTGTACATTGGGGGAAAGGAAATAACCAGAGGAAGTCAGTATTGGATCTTAGCAATAGAGAATCTCACTCACTCAACCAGTTTCCAGACTGGAAGGCCAGGTGCCCTTGAGGAAGGACCTTGTTACAGTACCAAAGAGTTATGCTGTTCGCCTCTTACCCTTCCTTCCCCAGAGGTATCTGTGGCCTTTTACTAGAGTAACTGTACATTGGGGGAAAGGAAATAACCAGACTTTCCATGGCCTATTGGATACTGGTTCTGAGTTGACACTGATTCTGGGAGATCCTAAAAAGCATTGTGGCCCTCCAGTTAAAGTAGGGGCTTATGGAGGTCAGGTGATAAGTGGAGTTTTGGCTGAAGTCCGACTGACAGTGGGTCCAGTGGGTCCCCGAACTCATCCTGTGGTTATTTCCCCAGTATCAGAATGTATAATTGGGATAGATATACTTAGGATTTGGCAGAATCCCCACATTGGTTCCCTGACCTGTGGAGTGAGGGCTATTATGCTTGGAAAGGCTAAATGGAAACCACTGGAATTGCCTCTGCCAGGGGCAAATGCTTTCATCTCAGTACCAGTTCATAAGGACCACCAGAAGCAATTTTCTTTCAGCTGGCAAGGTCAGCAGTATACCTTTACTGTCCTGCTTCAAGAGTGTATTAACTCTCCAGCATTGTGCCATAACTTGGTTCGAAGGGATCTTGATTGCCCGAGTCTTCCACAAAATATCACACTGGTCCACTATATTGATGACGTTATGCTGATTGAATCCATTGAGCAGGACGTAGCAGACAGTCTGGACTTGTTGGTTAAGCATATGCGCATGAGAGGATGGGAAATATATCCAACCAAAATTCAAGGGCTCCTACCTCAGTGAAATTTCTAGTAGTTCAGTGGTGTGGAGCATGCAGAGACATTCCTTCTAAGAAGAATAAGAAGTTGTTACACTTGGCCCCTCCCTCCATCAAGAAAGAAGCACAACACTTGGTGGGCCTGTTTGGATGCTGGAGGCAGCACATTCCTCATCTGGGTGTGTTACTATGACCCATATATCAAGTGACTCGGAAGGCAGCTACTTTTGAGTGGGGCCTGGAAAAGGAAAGGGCCCTTCAAAAGGTCCAGACTGCTGTACAAAATGCTCTGCCCCTTGGGTCATATGATCCAGCAGACCTGATGGTGCTTGATGTTTCAGTGAGGAATCAATAGCAGATAAGGATGCTGTTTGGAGTCTCTGGGAGGCCCCCATAGGGGAATCACAGCAGAGGCCATTGGGATTTTGGATCAAGGCTTTGCCTTCATCTGAGGACAACTATTCTCCCTTTGAGAGACAGCTCTCTTTGTCTTCATCTGCAGACAAGTCTCCCTTCGAGAGACAGCTCTTAGTCTGCTATTGGGCCTTAGTGGAAACTGAACATTTGACAATGGGCCACCAAGTCACCATGCGACCAGAGCTGTCCATCGTGAGCTGGGTGCTAGCTGACCCTCCCAAGCCATAAAGTAGACTGTGCACAGCAACAATCCATTGTCAAATGGAAGTGGTATATATGTGATTGGGCCCAAGCAGACCCAGAGGGCACAAGAAAGTTACATGAAGAAGTTGCCCAAATGCCTATGGTTCCTACTTCTGTTAAGATGCCTCCTGTTCTCAAGCATGCACCTATGACCCCTATGATGACCCCTATGATGACCCCTATGATGGGTTGACTGAGGAAGAGAAGACTAGGGCTTGATTTACAGATGGTTCTGCACGCTATACAGGCACCACTCAGAAGTGGACAGCTGCGGCATTGCAGCCAATTTCTGGAACAACCCTGAAGGACACTGGGGAAGGAAGTCTTCACAGTGGGAAGAACTTCAGGCAGTGCACATGGTCATGCATTTTGCTTGGAAGGAGAAATGGCCAGAAGCGCGATTATATACTGATTCATGGGCTGTAGCCAATGGTTTGGTTAGATGGTCAGGGACTTGGAAGGAGCATGATTGGAAAGTTGGTGAGAAAGACATTTGGGGAAGAAGTATGTGGATCTCTCCAAATGGGCAAAGGATGTGAACATACTTGTGTCTCATGTAAATGCTCATCAAAAAGTGGCTTCAGCAGAAGATGAGTTCAATAATCAAGTAGATCGGATGACCTGCTCTGTGGACTGGCAGCCTCTTTCTTCAGCTATCCCTGTCATTGCTCAATGGGCCCATGAACAAAGTGGCCATGGTGGCAGAGATGGAGGTTATGCATGGGCTCAACAGCATGGACTCCCACTCATGAAAGCTGACCTGGCTACAGCTGCTGCTGAGTGCCAGATCTGCCAACAGCAGAGACCAACACTGAGCCCCCAATATGGCACTATTCCCCGTGGCAACCGGCCTGAAACCTGGTGGCAGGTTGACTACATTGGACCACTTCCGTCTTGGAGGGGACAGTGTTTTGTCCTTACAGGAATAGACTCTTATTCTGATTATGGATTTCCTTTCCAGCATGTAATGCTTCTGCCAAAACTACCATCCAGACTTACAGAATGCCTTATCCACTGTCATGGTATTCCACACAGCATTGCTTCTGACCAGGGAACTCACTTCACAGTCAAAGAAGTGCAACAGTGGGCCCATGGTCATGGAATCCACTGGTCTTACCATGTTCCCCATCATCCTGAAGCAGCTGGCTTGATAGAACGATGGAATGGTCTCTTAAAGACACAGTTACAACAAGAATTGGGTGGCAATAGCCTGGAGGGCTGGGGCAGGGTCCTTCAAAAGGTGGTATATGCTTTGAATCAGCATCCAATATATGGTACAGTTTCTCCTATAGCCAGGATTCATGGGTCCAGGAATCAAGGGATGGAAGTGGGAATGATTCCACTCACTATCACACCTGGTGACCCACTAGGAAAATTTTTGCTTCCTATGACCTCGACTTTGCACTCTACTGGCTTGGATGTTTTGGTTCCAGAGGAGGGAGTGCTTCTGCCAGGAGAGACAATAAACATTCCATTGAACTGGAAGCTAAGACTTCCCCCTGGACACTTTGGGCTTCTGATGCCCTTAACTCAGCAGGCTAAGAAAAAAATAACAGTATTAGGAGGGGCGATTGACTCAGTCTACCAGGGGGAAATTGGACTGGTTCTCCACAATGGAGGTAATGAAGATTATATCTGGAAGGCAGGAGATTCCTTAGGGAGACTTTTGGTGTTACCATGTCCTGCGATTAAGTTCAATGGGAAACTGCAACAACCCAATCCAGATAGGACAACAAGTGGCCAAAACCCTTCAGGAATGAAAGTATGGGTCACTCCTCCAGGGAAGGAGCCGAGACCTGCAGAGGTGCTTGCTGATGGTGGAGGAAATACAGAATGGGTACTAGAGGAAGGTAGTTACAAATACCAATTTAGGCCACATGACCAGTTGCAGAAAAGTGGATTGAAATTGACATGATTATTCTTGTCCTATTTGGTTAAGAATAGGCTTGTGCATGTATACACATATGTTAAGCAGATAAGTATCTGCTTTTTAGTCTTTTTTTGAATGTGTAATTGAGATAAGTGTTAAGTGGTTAAGTGTTGTAAACCTATATGATTATATTGGGTTATGAGATACTAAAGGACTAGGCATTCCTCGAAGACTTTATCACCTACTCTAAGATATAGAATGCATTGGTCATTGTATGATGGGATAATCATATCATGTTAGGTGAAATTATGAGCTCAACATTGTTTTCATTTGAAAAATAAGCATGGCTTAGAGAAATGCTATTGGGTGCCAAGTTGACAAGAGGTGGATTTGTGATGGCTAAGCAACTTGACTGAATCTGGGATTAACTGAAATGAGAGAGATCTTGATTGTATCATCTGAAGCTGGAAGACACA